CGGGAGGCAAATCAAACCACAAGCCTGCTCGCAAGACTCTAGCGCAAGACTTCCGCTGCTTTACAAGCCTTCGATTAACCGAGCAGAATCCAGCCCTACAATGTATCTTATCGACTTTTTTCCGGCCCATTCTGCTTTATCGACATGCTTCCTGGGTACCTGGCAAAGCCCACGAACATAAATGGGAGGAAAAGCGCTTACGGTCAACGCATTAGTTCTTCATTAGGTCTGCATACATAGCCTCCATGTAGCCTATATCGACATACCAGGCTTTAGTAGGTCATGTAGAGCCTACACAATGTAGTCTCCTACACAGTAGGCTACAGTGCCTCACAGACGTGAGCGTCTCACGCACTGGACATCACCTCCCTACCCCCACTCCCGATCGCTCACTCCCCTTCCCCATCCCTTCTCAGTCTGTCGCTAGCAAGTGCCACGGTCAGCAAGTCAGTGCCTTGTATAACCATTTTCCCCAAGGAGTTTCCGCAGCAAGTGGCCATAAACAGGTCTTACAAGGATGCTACAACAAAGTTTGCGCTGGTGTGTAGTTTGCTCGGTCTTTAGTACCGAAACTCCCCCCACCCCTCCCACCCTTGTTAGTTTGAAGAATCAAGGGAAGCCGCCAGCTTTAAAAAGTAGTGTTGCCTTTTACCGCGGACCTCCCTTAATTTTTTCCTCTCTGGTTTTATATTTTCATTTATCGACATTTTTATCCATCGACATCAAATCCGCTTCCCAAAGCATGTCGATATAATATAAGCGGATTATACTGTAAATAACTCATGTCTTGTTTCATTTTCCAAACGGGAGCCAAACTCCCGCGATGCACTGGCATGAATCACATGTTCACAACAAAGATGGTCTCGATAGGCAGCAAAGTTTGAGAGTGGCAGTTGTTTGAAGAATTTAGTCGATCAAAATGTCCCAATGTGAAAATGTGACTGGTCACTTATTTATGTTCATTACAAAGTTTTCTTATCATATTTTTAATCGATTATATTATGTTCATATGTTGAGGTAATGAATAAATATCATGTTTAACATAAAGAAAACAACTAAGGGGACCCAGGGAAGGGGTGGCTGCAGAGTCATTCCCTTTTTTTTTCTTCCAAAAGGGACTTCTTGCCATCGTCGACGGCCGCAAAAGGTCCACTCCATAAGAAAAGGTACATTGTTGTGATCAGTTGCTAACAGTGCCCATTTAACAGCAATTTAGCGTACTAGAAAGCCTGGTTTGTAGTTTTTGACTTCTAGTTTAGTTTTAGTAGAGGTTTTACGGCACTCGCAACTGCATAAGGTCATATGAGCGCCAGAAGATTAGATGTGTTACAAGAGAGTAACAAACATAAAGAAGAAGAAGGGGAGATAAGGGCGATATATGTTTGATAGGAAAGAAGGAGCAAACCACACCAGAGCACCCGCCAACCACCCATTCTTGACTTCAATGCGATCGATCAATCAAGACTGACTCCATCAGAATCGCTGCAGTCTGAAGAAACTTGGACCTCTTGACAGGGTGACCGCCAGGCCCCAGGAATTTGAGGGAAAAAAAATCCGAGACACGGGAATGCCCCGGGAATTTGAGGAAATCTGTAAATTGTCCGGGAAGTGACCTAGGGAAATAAATAAAACCAAAACCGATAGGGTCAGTAAGTTCATTTTTTCCGGTCGCGATTGAGTTATGCTTTCGGCTTTTCTCGGTCTGATAAAGCAACATTTGTGACACGCAGGTTGTTAGGTATAAACGCCGTGTCGCCATTAAACTAAATCAATATTTGTGACTGTGCTATCACTTCTGAAAAAAAGAAAAGAAAAGAAAATCAAACGTCGTCTGATTTTCAGCTTGTCGGGCTCACCAACGTGACCGGTCAGTGAACCTGCATTCGTTCGCACCACATGTCATCATGTAAGTACGCTGCGGTTGCTGGGGTCACCAAAGTTCATTCAAAGTCTGAACGTTGCGGAGTATATGACTCCAGGGGCCGCCGGGGGGGGGGGGGGGGGGCGTCAATAAAAAGCCGAAGCTCATGAGTATCATACTGTCGGGATTCGAACCTTTTGGCCAAAGTCCGTCAACCACGAGTCCACCGCACTGGCATGGCTTCTTACAAAAAAAAACAACAACCCCACAGTACGCAACAAAATCATTTTGGGAGGTCCTGGCCGCAAACATATCCCCATGTGATCGCATCACAGTCCCCATGGCGCATAATGTGTCCTCGATGGCCGCATAAAGCCCTGATCGCAACTGGTCCCTTCACATGGTGTTTTAGAATGAACATCCCTCTTGGCAATACATGCTCTATAGACCATCATACAATAATTGGCCAGAAGATGTCCACGTTTGCAGGCCAACATTAAAAAAAAAAAAAGTTATCTCTATTCGTTTGGCTTTCAGAGCAAAGTAGGTGAGAAATGACCGTCAATAGTGCCTTTACTCTAAGCTTTGGCCGCCACCGGGGCAAAATTCAAAATCAATTCTTATTAAACTGAAAATGCTTAATTTGTTTCGCGCGCTCATATGACCTTATGCAAGTGCGAGCGCCGTAAAACACTTACCAAAAAAAGTTAAGGCTACATTATAGTATAACATAAAAAAACAACAACTCAAGACGCTCTCGCTGAAGAAACAGACGGGAGACCAATTAGACGTCGCTGGAACTACTCTATGGAAAGGACACGTACACCTTCAAAGCCAACAACTTGACCCACCTCCAGGCCAGCACTCGATTGGCAACTGACCACTACTGTTGTCCTCCTGATACCCACCAGCAGCCTACGCAGTCAGCGATGAAAAAACTAAAACGGAGAAAAAAAAAGAAAAAAAGTATGTTACGTGAGATTATGCACTTAACTTCCTCCCAGACAGGAAAAAAAATGTTCCGGCCCTACCTCTTTTTCACACACACACACACACACACACACACACACACACACACACACACACACACACACACACACACACACACACACACACACACATGCACACACACACACACACACACACACACACACACACACAAACACACACTCTCTCTAATATATACATGTACTATAATTATAAGTAAATGCATCACACCCATTACAAGTACAAGCACACGCCAGCTCGAGCGCAATGCACAACCTTTTCTAGGTTTTCACAAATTGTCGTGAAACATTTGACCTACAGTAAAGTACAATTACAATAGAATATTTTTGAGTGAGCTAGGCTTGTTTTGTACGTGTACATAATATACATGTATTTATGTATATAACAAGTATTGTTTAAAAAAAGGTAGGCCTATACTAATTATTATATGGTTATTATCATATTTATCTATATAAGCATAGGCCTACCACAATTTGCTTGGGTTTGGTAAGAGTCGATGGAGTTGGTGAGGACAAGCGTACGGTGAAATCTCACTGCAAATCAAACATTCGGGGAAATAATAAATAGCATTCTTTATAACCCTTTGCTGAAAACACACTTAAACTAAAGATTCTCTTCTACCCAGTAGTAGAGAATCTTTGCTTAACTGAAACAACGTTTATTTCGGGTCAATCGCATGATTCGATGTAGGCCTAATTATTAGCATGAGTGCTGCACCCCTCAAGTGTTCGATTTTCTTATCAAAAGCTGGTCCATCTACGATATTCTTTTTTTCCTTTTCACTTGTGACTTGTATGCTGTACGTAGGCCTACGGTACTGTATGGGCTCTGTGTCGTGGCGTAGAGGTTAAGGTGTTATCGCCTCTATCATTCAAAGGTCCCGGGTTCTATTCCGAGTATGCGACGGAAAAAAATTATTGTCTTAAATTGTCTCCTTTCACCCCATTTCCTGCTCTCTAGCAATATTCTGTTGTCTACTTTCGTCTCCACTTTCTGCCCCTCCCCTCGCCTCCTTTGCCCTCTCCTCTGGGCTTCTCGATCTCTCATGACTCTTTCTGCAGCCTTTCTATTGCTACTCATGGCTCTTTCTTACTGCTGTGTTTCAGCCACACCCCTGATCTTCTGGTAGGAAAGATCTACACTTACACAAAGTCTTCTCGGACAATGGCGATCGAACAATCTCAGTCGAAGTCCCGTGTGCAAGTTGCGAACGTTAAAGATCACTTGCGTGGTCTATAATCGATAAGAGTAGGCTTCGGCCGCCACCCGGGCAAAATTCCAAATTTCCTACCTGAAAATGTTTAATGTGTCCCGATCCCGCGCGCTCATACTCATAATATGACCTCATGCGTGTTGCAAATCTCGTAAAACATTTACCCCCCGCCCCCCAAAAAAAAGTAAAATATCTTCAATGCGCTATCAATTTAAATTAAAGTGACACAATGTTGCGTCGTAGTAGTAAAAAAACCAAACAAACACGTAAGCTGGGCCCTAAACCTTTTTCTTCCCTCAGGCGTTAGATAGGCTAATTTGAACAATAGTCAGTAGGCTAAGAAACGATTCCCTAAGCTGCAGCCCGGAGCACATCGAGCGAAACGAACCAAAGCAATTCAAAATTGCATAAGTATGTGTATATGAAGTGGTAGTGAGAAAAATGACAATGTAGGCTATTATATAGGCATAGGAATAGGAATGGCCAACACGATGCAATTTGTGTATTTTCAGCGCAAAATCGTAACATATAGGCCTAATTTTAACTAGATCTATATCTGGATACCGTGTACTTATAAATTTGTAGTCAATTAATCAATTCCATAAATTTCGGCCAAAGTAATTTAATAAGTCTCAGACGTCAGACACTAGATCTAGATCCAGATTAAAAAAAACAAACAACGTTCTAATTCTATTTTGGTTTACACATCACCATATAATGTATTTTTAAAAAAGGATTTAGATTTGTAGATCAAAATCAAAATCTAAACTCTACGTAAAAAACTACAAAGCCCCCAAAAGCCAAACCAATCAGCATTGAAACAAATGAAAGAAGGCGAACACGCCAAAACCACGAAACAATGCTATGCCCGTCGAACTTTTTTCCTGTTTCGTCCTTCAACCTCGACCTTTGAGCTCCACATTTCAATGGCAACCGTAGTCGTTGCTCGGTGACCGCATTTGTGAGCCAGTTCCGATTACCGAAAACAATATTTAACCACTGCTGAATTGAATCCCATATGTTTATACCCGACCGGAGTTTTCTACAGCGGTACCGTAAGTACTTTTTACGATATGCAACTTCAAAATTTTCCGTCGCCCTGAAAGCTACTTTTCTCAATAACGAGTCGGTACTTGTGTTTCGTGCTTTAGTTGTCAAGCACGCTGGTCTTTAGGAAATAACCGCCATCTTGATAGCAACTTGCCCGAACACGCCGAACAGTATCTAAACGTTATTCATGTCAACGCGCATTCCACGAAAAAAATAGTTCGCAAATGTTTTTATTTTTATCACCATAAATCTAAGATGGAAGTCTTATTAAGATAAGGTAATATTTTCAAATTGAAAGCAATTATAAAAGTTGTTGGATTATTTGTTGAACATTTATTAGTTGACATTGGGAATTGAATCACCCGGATGTTGGCGTATGAATATTGCATATGCTGACGCGAAGAGTCTGGCAACTGTTGCCGTAGGAATAAACGCCATAGACACGGTAGCTGTGACGACTGTTTCCCATCAACAACTATAAGGTGAATTTAGCATTATATGTTGATATGTTAGTGTGTGTGATGAGTTGCAAGAAGAGTGCTTGTTTTTGTCTGTTTTGGTGCATTGTCCAGTAAGAATGTTTGTTTGCTGTTTCCATGTGATTGCAAGTGTCGAAAGGTCGGTTTGAAAATGGCCGAACCAAAGCTCGATCGTAGCGTTGTTGAATGTCGCGTGTTAAATACAAGACCTCATGTGCATTGGGGCCATGCTTTCTGGTTTGCCGACATGCAAAATTGGATGCGGTGTCGTTTAGGTCATTATTATTTTGTATGTTTTGTTTGTTTTAACCGTGTTTTAGAGAATAGGTTTGCCTCACATGATTGTTATTGCTGAATGGCCCTAACCAAGCGTCCCCAGTTTCCATTCGTTTTGTTCAGACCAAAAAGAAGACTCGATAATGGGTCATGTAAGTGTGAGGTAATTCTTCTGTAGATCGGCCTGAACCGATTTCGTTTATGAGAGTATGTGTATGATATTGTTTAAATGGGAATGTTTATTTAGAGTCCAGTCAACGCATGTTTGAGGTAAACAATTGTAGATGTAAACACTTTATTTATGAAGAGTCTTTGCCTCTGTGCATAGTTTTTGTAGGTTTTAGCTCCGCCCCTCATAAATAGATCTCTATCTGTTGTCTTTGTGACTACCCGAATTGAGTCTTTATCATTCTTGAAACCCATAAATTCTGGCAGGCGATTGTTAAGATTCCCGCATTTATTTAAATTAATTCCGATGTGCGTTTTTCATACCCTCAGGCCTCAGGCATATTTCGCTTTGGTCCCTGACCCTGGGTTAGGGTTAGGGCCAGGGTTAGGGTTAGGGACCAAAGCGAAATATGCCTGAGGGTATGAAAAACACATCGGAATTAAACGTGGGAATCTTAACAATCGCCTAAATTCTCCTAATTAGGTAATTGAAATACCTTATTGTACTATCGTTTTGAATTTAATGATAGCCGCTTTCATCAATTAGGCCTGGTCTAGATATCTATAGAATCTAGATCTAGGCCTACTTGGCTAGATCTAATAATAGTCTGATATCTGGAGATCAATGTTAACTTGCGATCGTATTTCCAGACCAGGATGACTACAGCATTTGCGGAGGTTATCTTATCAGTGAATTTCAAAGGGGAGGAGGCAGGAATGGTTCAGTCTTCTTCGTGCATTCATACATGATGTGTCTTTACTGCCTGTCCTCCACTGGTTTTAGTTCGTTTTAATGTGATTGCTGTATTGTTCGAGAGTGGGCTTTGTTCTACATAAGGCATGATAAGGTTAGGATCAGGTCTAGATCTAGATGTCAAGTTCAAAGATCAGTTTGTAGTTGTGGTATAGTCCTCAAATGATCCACTCATTGGAACAGTTGAGAGCCTCTTTATATTTTTATGGGGAATCTTTTAAAGTGGCAACCCTGTTTCCAATTTTTGTAATATAAATTTTCTCTAAACTTGTACTTGTTAGGCAAACAAATCGAAAGACAGGTTGTTTTGTTCCGACATGGCTCTTTTACTTTTGTAGGCTTTTCATGTCTCGGGTGTGTGCTTTCGGCCATTTTATAATTTATTTGTCATGGTCTTACACCTTGCATCAGAGGGAAGCTACGTAACTGTTCACTTTTTTACTTTTACGGAGACAGTATGAAAGATGGTTGTTGTTGAGGACCGTGCTGGACATGCTTCTGTGGAAAGTCTCTGTATGTTTTTATTTCAAAGAGTTCTCATTTACACTACCAGCATCTGATAGTAGTTAGGTGCTTCGTTGTCGCGTATGGAAGACTAATTGTTCTATTCCCGGGTGAGAAGAATTTTGATTGTCTCTGGGATATTGTATCCTTCTCTGCCTGGATTAACCCTTATAATGGGCAGGGTCGAATTTAACCTCCTAATTGATCTAAATTGCATTGATGTGGGGTTTAAAAAACGGGTTAAAAATTTACATGTAAAAAAATTATTCACACTGTTGTTTCTCAATACCTTTTGTATAGTAGCAAGTATATTTATTACCTCAGGTATTCAGTTATTGAGTGGAATCTGTGGAGTTGTGACACACACTGATTCATTTAATTTATTTTTCCTCTTCGGTTTACTTTGTTATCATGCATTTTTAATGTTTCCTGCTTTTTAGAACTGTCATGATCAAAGAGATTATTTTTTTTAAAACCAGGTAATTCGAGGAATCAAGCTAAATAACCGTTAACCCTACCGAAGTAATTCTCTTTTGTGAGCACAGAAAAACATTGTCAGTAACTTTTTTTTCTTTTTTTTGTTTTTTGTTGGCTCATATTTTTGGAAATTAGGTAACTGTTCTGTAATATAATTTATTATTTTTTAGATTAATTTGTGCTGTAAGAGAGATGCAATGGAAGTGCTATCTATCTGTTTTGTAAAGTATATATTTTATGAGAATTTTCTTACCTTTTTGAGGTTTCTCCCCCCTCAGGTGGTCTACATTTAAGTGCCAGCAATGGCAACTCAGACATATGTGACAGACTTGCAGGTGATGAATCCTGCTGCAGTCCAGGTAAGCATAGTGTTAGATATTAATGTTTGCTTTCTCCTGTTAGTGATTTTTATTTTAAAGTTATACTTAACTGATGTTTGACTTGTAAATTAAAAAAAAATTGTAATCTGGGTTTTTGTGGTTCATTGCTTAGTCAGATGGAAGAGAAAACAGCAGATTCATGATCATACTCTGTTAATGGTGATTGATAGAGTTGGGTCGGGCTCACTAAATTAGCGTCAGCGGTTTAATGAGCGGTCCGCTTGTGAAGATTCGTTCACTACTCGCTACACATTGGACAGAGACAACAGTTTGTTTAGCGAGCAGGCGGATGGAGAGACTACATTCAGACGGACGGACGGACGGGGAGCGACTCCTTTCATTACATACCACTTACATACTCCCCGCCCACACCCCGTCATCCCCCCCCCCCCCCCAGCCTTCTTTGATTTAATGAAAGCATTAAACTACAAGAGGAATTTTTTATGGATATATTTTTAGTTTTAAACCTTTTTGTTGATTTATTCATCTGGTTTTCACTACCTACTTTGTAGAAGACTAAATGATGTGATAAGATAAACAAAAACCCCCCCCACATCATTTCCTATAATTTTGACAATGTTTTTTTTTAATGACTGGATTGCTCTGATTTTTTTCATTGAATGAGAATGGTATCTTATCGGTAATTTCTTAACTGAAAAAAAAAGTATGTAGTTAATGTTCTGATTTATTTCTTTTTAAGTGTGACTTTGTTTTTCTGATGATATTGCAGGTTTTGTTGCTCTTTCAGTTATGATGATGGTTTTATGTTTCAATGGTTTGTGTAACTTTGTGTCCATAGATAACCCGTTCTATGTTCACAAAAATATAAAAAAATGTATTGTAAGAGCAGTCCTGTAATCACCTAGTACAATGGTATAGGACATTGAATAGATCGTGCAGAGGTTAATCCCTCCTAATTTCAATACAGGCTTTTGGACTAGACCTTACAGCAGATGGGGTGAGTTTGTTGAGAGGTGTCAGTAGAAAAGAGTGAAATTAGCACAAGCTTTCATTTAAAAGTTTTTCTTACTTACAAGTTGCACTGCCATGGGTTTGAGACTAACTCAGAAGAAGAAGGGGGGAAAAAAAGGAAAAGATGTAGTTCTCCTCTTTCTGTGCCCTAAGGCCTTGTCACTCCATTGTGAATTCTGTTGTCTTTTATGCTTTTGTTTTGTTAAGGATTTCAAAAAGTGTAGACTGAATTTTATTTCTTGCTTCCTTATTTTGCAAGCAGTTTTTTTCTTATAAATATAAGTCGTAGAGACAAAAAATGAAGAAGAAAAGCTAAGAACTTATATTAATATATATGCTGTGTGAGAATTAAAACTTTGTTGAGTCGTAATCATGCTCCTTTCTAAGTTAGTTTGGTAAGATCCCTTCTCAGCCTAAAAAGAAAGATAAACTACATTAGAATCAGGATGTGCTGTGAAGTCGTGTTTTAATGTTGTATAAATTGAACTGCACTTTAGTCTTTATTTTTTCTTAAAAACTGCCAAAGCAAAATTCTAAGATCATTTAAGTGCTTTAATATGTGTTGCATTGTGGTGAAATCAGGCACTCATCAAATAATAAAATCAAAGGAATCGACATATTCCAAATTTATCATTAATTTTTTTTTGCTGAACATCTTTTATTTCCATTTAAAAAGCATTGATAAAAAGCTCAAAAGTAACATAAATTTGCAGTTTCAAAGGACACCCAAAATGGGGACAATTTTCTAGTCTATTTTTTACTAGTGACACCAAACGACCCACATCTTTCTCAGTGCCAAATGTAAATATATCTGGAGTCAAAACAAATGGGTATTATTTTTGTTAAATCTTGATAAATGAACAAGCTCTTTATTTCTTTGAACGCACAATTTTGAGTTCGTTTTGGGGAATTCATTAAAAAAAATTTTGGAGCACATATTTACTTGTCAGTACGGCCTATATAAACCACCTATGATGTATTGGAATAATGGTCGTGTCATTCATCAAATCAAGGCTTATTGCATGCAGAAGATGAAAGTGTATATATTAGAATCATGAATATATGACTTCTTTGTACTTTGTTGAGTAAACGTTTAAGAAGAAGTAAGGATAGAGATATAATGAAATAATACAGATGAGCACTGACAGCATTCATCACTTCATATATATGTTTAAAATTTGATAAGCGCCAGATTCCACAGTGTGGTGACACATCTATTTCTCAACTTTGAATCAAGAAGTATGTCATAAGACATTAAGTTTACATTTTCTCTTGTGCCTTTGTGTGACCTTTTGTGTTTTAAAATTTTTTTCCCACAAATGGATAACATTCACTACCTGTAGCCGTACACATTTCTTTCAATTTCCTGTATTGAAAATTATTTAATTGTATGAACTAAGCAGAAATTTTGAAGTGAATTCGGCTGCATAAGAGGAGAAGCTGACAAGTATATATATTGTAACTAGCTAGATGCTTTGGGAATTGTGTTTTTGAGTTGCTTAATTTCATGATTAAGACAGCTCAAAGGTAGTGAATTTGATGCTCATATATTTTTTCTATACATATTTTTGCCAAGTGTCATGGCTATTCATAACAAACATATATCATGATTATCATATATTGGGTGTTATGCAATTTTTAGACTTCTCTGAAATAGTAGACTGCTTGAAAACTTTTCTGAAATTGTAGACAGTTTTGACCTCGTTTCCTCCTTGGCAGTTTAGTATATATGGAAGTTTGATGTAAGGGCATTTTTATGAAAACCAGTTAGTTTTTAAGGGGAAATCCTGTACTGTTGTGTGAACATGGAAGCTTTTAAATTTAAGTGGAGATGAAGGAGAGTGATGCCCTAACTCAAACACCATGCTCAAAGAATATCTCCGATTGTTAATGATTGTACTTTTAATATTAGTTTATAATGAAAGATAAGTGTGGGGTACACTCTTTTTTAATGTTAGTGACAATCTTAGTGAGGATTGTGTAAATGTGAGTAAAATATTGATACAGAATGACAAACAGTACAAAAGATAAGTGCAAGCCCCCCTCCCCCTCAATAAAGTCAATTTAAGCCGCCACTATTTAACACAGTGTTGATGCGAATAGTCAATGTATCAAAACAACGCTCTCGTATGAGTGATGAAAACTATGGAGCTTTGTTTTATTTTCTTTTGTAACATTTTAACTTAAACTACCATTTCCTGTGTAAATGGAATACTAGCAATTCTCTGGGTTTCATTATAGTTTGAGTTTTCTCCTGGAAAAAAGTCAGTTGAAATATATAGAAACTATCGTGTTGATCATATTAAACCTTTCATTGATACCTGTCTGCACTATATCATGCTGTGACATAATCATAACTGCCTCATGGTCAGTTGAATCAGAGGCAGGTTGACGTCGCATTTGAGTGTATTGTACATATTTGGTTTGGCGTGGCTTTGTTCAGAAGAGTTGCACATATATGATCTGATTTCTTCACATTCGGTGTCCTCAGTCGGAGGCAGCTAATACTTTTGTCTTCCGTATTCACTGTCTTTTGCAGTTATTTGTTAAATTAAGGCTTTATGAGTACATTTTTCATTGCTATTTTCCATTTAAAAAGTATTATGGGGTGGGATATTATTACTATCCAATCATGCTTTCTATGTTGGATTGTAATAATTTCCCATCAATGGAGCTAAGAGATTTTGCTTTGGCAGGTTTGAATGTATCTTTGTTCATGGTAGCAAACAAGGAATTAAAAAGGGGGTGTGGTTCTAATAACTGATCTCTTAACTGCTAGTGAATTGTAAAGTGTAGTTCTGTCTTGATGTTTATCAAGTGACATATTTTTTATCATAGACGTCAGTCCGGCTCCCAGTTATTCTGTTAGAAGAAACAATGTCAAAAAATAGTTTGAGAAGTACAGTTATTTACTGATCTCTTGTTAGCTTTTGACAGAACCCCATAGTTTTTCTGAAGCAGCACTTTGGACATTTGTGTGCATTTTATTTGTTTCAAAAACTTGCTGTAATTCTTTTGGTTTTGGAAGGTCTAAACTACCACCGGATCAGCTCTTTTCAAGGGGGCTAATCTCATCAGTGATTTTTTCTAATTTTCTGTCGCTTCTTTTGTAACCTGTACACAGCAGTGTGTGTTATTTGTTACAGAGTATTTTGTGTGTCTGCAAACTTTTAATAGCCGTTTATTCAATAATATAAAAGGGGGTTTACTTTTTACTGGATTATTTTTTATGTTTTGCTTATTTTTTGTGTTGAAAAGATAAGCAGTGTTAATTATTTGGTTCTTTTTTAAAAAAGAACAGTGCTTTTAGTGTCTTTGTTTTCCAGATAAGCGGGGTGTCTTTCAGTTTTTATTGCACTTTTGACATGACGTGGTGGAATCAGGTGCTCGTCAATTTTTGGGCATATGGGGTTTTTGGTATCTTAAATTAAGTTAAAGTTGCTTTGGTGAACAAAATATCCATCTATGTTGAATAGAAATCAAGATATTTGCAATTGAAGGAGGTGAGGGCCATCTGGTTTCCGAGGTAAAATTAGTGAGAAAATGGCCGCCAAAGTTTGCTAACTTCCATAGCTTAAGAGGCATTGGAAACTAAAAATTCACTTTTTTATGCCTTTACTTGTCGATGTTTTTCTGTAAAATCCACTCAGAAATATGTTTTTAAATGAACGTGAAAGGTGTTGGGTGAATAAAAGAAAATTAGGGCAAAACTGCCAGACGGTCAGAAAAACGCTTTTCTTTAATTTCAATATTTTGACGAGCACTTGATTTCACCACGATGCTTCACATTTTAACAATAGTGCTGTCATATATAGCTTTGTCTCTTTTACGGCATTTTCTTTTGAATTCCAATATCAGCAGTGAATCTTGTTGTTAATCTGTTTAGACTTCTCCTGTCCCCATTCCTCTTTCTTTGTGTCTGTTTTGTTCTTTCATTTAACTCATTGAACCCCGTCAGACGATGGGAGCTTCCGACGGTAATAACCCTGTTCCCCATCGGACGCTGGCAGTGTCCAGTACTAATGACAACCTGTTTCGTTTTATTTAGTGCTAGTTTTTGCTTGTTTTTCGGAACAATTCCTGAACAAAGTTTTTTTAGTAATGAATGACTAAGCCTTTGTTTCTGCTTTAGAAGTTGGAGGCAAGCTTTTGGGGTTATAATGAGACATAGTGCACTAGGTTTAGGTGACAAAAGAAAACAACTCCTGTAAATGGTAGAAAAAACTCAAGAGTTATGTCTGGTGTTTTTTATTTTGTTATAGCTCTTGGAAGAGTTGATATCTTTACTCTCCTTGGTTGCTGTGTTTATTTTGCTCTCCCACCATTAACTAGCTATCATGGCATCCTCTCTTTTGGTTGTTGGTTGCTGTAGTGTAGTTTGCTCCTTCTTTTCTATGAAACTTTTATTGTCCTTATCTCTCCTCCTTTTTTTTTTGTGTTTGTTACTTTCTAATAACACCTGAAATCTGTGGCACTTATGTGATCTATTTGTGTTGCAAGTGCCGTGAAACTGTCATCATATCTTTGAGTTTCTCTTTATACTCATTCACACAAACTCTTTTTCATCTTATTCCCTAATACTTTTTTTGGGCTCATTTTTTCTCTTGTCTTTTTCTGTTCTAATTTTTGTGGAAGTATGTACACATCTGATTCTTTCAAGAAATTTCATGCCAAGTGGAAGTGTTCTTATCCTAAATGCTGTTTTGTGCTGTTTTTTTTGTTTTTCTTCAACACTTTAAGATGAGGCTGTTTTGTGATGTGTCAATATTGATGAAGTCATTGCTTCTTTGGTCACTTGTAATGTTGCTCTGACTTGTTGTTGTCATGAAAGTGACAGATTTTTGAGTGTTCAGTTGGCTTCTTTGACTCTTTTGTCTTGAATGCCAACTCCTAAATTATGTTTTTGATTTAGCTGTGTGAATGTTATATTTTTGTTGATGATTAGTTGTGTAGCGCTTGTTTTCTTAAAATTTTATGTTCTGTTTCATGGTGGTCCATCTCTGTAGACTCAAGGTTCTCTGATGTCAAGTGATATTTTGTGTGTCGTCTGAAATATGATGAAGTTGAAGTGAATCCTTTCCAATTTACCGTAATGATTGTGATTACTATTTTCTCTAATTTCAGAATGGGAGTGTGGTTAAAACATCTGCCGCCAGCAGTGGCGGGACTGTACAGACCGGGCAAAAGACAACCATCATACAACCAGCACAAGCCCACACAGGACAGCAGTTTATTGTCACCAGTACGCCCTTTTTAAACTTTCTTTACCTGGATGTTTTGTTGATGATTTTTTTTTTTTTGTGTAGTTGAAACTTTGGTTTAACCAGCTTTGGTTTTAGCATCCTTCTTGCAGCTCAGTTTAAAGACCTTGCACTTTGAAAGAAAAAAAACATCTTCTTAAATATTTTACAGCTTTATTTCGGACTGATGTTTGATTGAGATTGGTAATATTGTCCCGAATTTTTGCATGGTGTATTCTTGGTATTTAAAACATATACATATAATGAAATTCGGACAAAATGCAAAGATATCTGCATCTTTTTGATTTCGCTATATGGATGCTAGATTTATTTTCAAACCCTCTCCTCAATCACTAATAGAGAGAGAGAGAGATAACAATGAATGGTTTGTTGGTTTTTTTTATGGCATCAGAGTCAACCAACAAACCGACCTGGAAAACAGCTTAAGTATTTGGTATGTGAATGTGTCTGGAATGCATTTGACTGTGCCTATGAAATATTGAAAGAAGTCCTCGGGTTGGTCTCACAAGATGACTGGGTGCCTCATAGAGTATGTATGCACATGATATGTCCTTTTATAGGACGGCCATCTCTTTTGTTCATCTTAGTATGGTTTTGTCCATATGTAAGAGTTTTCAACCAGCTCACTGCTCTTTGTGGTCAATCTAAAAGTATTCTAGATTTGTTGTTTTAAATCATAGTTACACAAAAGTGTTGATACAACATTTTGGTTTGTAATAAAAATCTGTTGCTCCACAACAGGTGAACCATGGGCTTTTCATGTTGTTTTACTTTTATAAAGTGGACTTTGATTTGCTTCCCTTTAACGGCATCTGTTCTGTAATGATTGGGGCTTACAGGCAATATAGAGTTTTATTTTTCTGGTTTGGAGGATGGTTTGGATGAAATGTGGCGATGTTGAGAATCTCAGGTGTTTTTTTTTGCAGGAGTGGATCATCAGAGTCTGGTGGTCAGTCCTGATGAGCAGCTTGCCTCCTAGATGATCCGGATAGTGCAAAAGACATTTATTTATTGTAATGTTTTTCTCCGTTTTGCAGCATCAGCGGTGGACCATCAGCAGTTGGCAGATCAAAGTCAAACGGAGACCATCACCATCCAGCAGGCTGGTCAAACAGTCTACCCAGCTCACCTACAGTACGTAGAGGGCTCTGAGCCTGCCATCTACGCTAATGGCCAAATGTACGGACCACACTAGGGTTTAGTAGCCAACTGCCCAGAGAGAGAGCGAGAGGGGGAGAGAGAGAGGGCTAAGGACGGTTGACATGGGAGATTGAAGGATAAGACAAATATTGATAAATAAAGAGAAGAGAAGCGTGTAGAACTGTGAGAAGTAAACAAAAAAATAGAGAGCAGCTTGAAATGTTCTTAGAGTAGAGAGGTGTAAATTTGGAAAGAGATGTGTAAATATATCCAAATACTAAGAGAAGTATTTTAGAAGCAAATTTGTGCACCTCAGTGGTTCTCCCTCTCTCTTACCCCAGCCTGGTGCTCTTTTCTGGTTTTCATTTTGTGTATTATTTTGCTGTGCTGGTCTGTTTGGTGATCTTTAATTGTTTCTGTTCTTGGCATGACACTCCTAACTTGCTCTTTGAGTGTTGCAATTCACTCTAACTAAAGTATGTGTTTTCTACCTGAGTTGAAACGTGTTAGTTTCACTAAGCTTTACAGTATTGGCAAGGGTATGGTTTGAGGTTCTTGGATCTTGAACTAACTAGTTCTAAGTATTCTCCAGTCTTCATTCAAATGACATTTCAGAAGTGGCCCTTTGATGGTAGAAGCATTTTTAAGTCTGTATTTAAAAGATGATGAAAAATGTTTGTGAAAACATGGCTTGTAAAAATATTGGACGACTTCAAAGTACACAGCGTAAGAAAAATTGTATGGTATTTTCTGTTGCATTTCATGACTTATGAAGTTTACAAAGTTTAAAATACACTTTAGACAAATCCATTCTTCAGAAGGAATAAACATACCAAAAGACCATGGACGGAGTAGCTCCCCACCCCTCAGCTGACATTGAATATTGGGAAATCGAAAGGGTTAAGAAAAATAAAAAATATTAAAGCATTTTTGCCCTTCTTTTCTGTGAGGGCAATCGAGGATTGTACTTCCTTCTTGCTTGATAGGAAATGAATTGAAAGTAATGCAGAGAGCGTAATTTTGTTAATATCCAGTAAAATTGAAGGAGGAAAGAGGGTGTTTGGTTCACTTGTGATAGGCGCTGTTGTATGGGGGAAATTTTAAAAATTGTTTTTGCATGTGGCTCAGAGTAAGTGGAAGGGAAAGTGCCTGGACACTTATTGTTGATGTTCTCTCCATGGAGAAATGAATGCATTTTCACTTACAGCAGTGGCTGTTACTGTCAGATGTGAATGTTAAGAGTGTGAGTGTTTATATGTGTGTATCTGCACATATTTTTGAGCGTTTATAGATTGTATGAGACTGATGGGTCTTACTCGAGGCATAGCTCAGTATCTGTAACTATAAATTGTAATTTTGTGAACTTGTTTTTGCCCTCCTCCTCTTGTGATTCGCCTCAAGATATCTTCTTTTGGGTGCTCTCAATATACATGTAGTTTGCATGACGTGATCATAGTTGAGCAAATTCATGTTTTGAATACATGCTCATTTATGTTGTAATCTATATATGTCTGTCTGTCAGTGGTTGGTTGACTACTATGTCTGTCAGTGACATTTGTTTTTTGTATTCCGGTGTGATGTTTCTATTCTTTTTAAGTATTACTGTTTTCCTAATTGGTTCCTGGCGGAACGTGGTGGTTCTTGTGCTGTCACTAAAATATTGTTTGACAAGGAAATGTTTATGATGAAAATAATGTGATGAGATATATATTTAGTTTTAAAGTGTTTAATTCTCAATAAGTACCTTTGCCACATACACAGCAACTACTGCTTAAGTCTAAAGTTTGGTATTTGTGTGTGTGTGTGTGTGTGTGAAACTAGCAGATTTTATATTCGTTTGGCCCTTAAAGTTTTTCATATAGCATATAATATTGTATTTTGCCTTGAATCTATCAAACACAAGTCCCATTTTCTTCAATGAGCTCTGTCATACTTTTCTTGTCTTTTTTTTACATTTTTTTTTTAGGCCCAAAGACCTGGTGCTGAAGGCTAGGTATTCTTTTAGCAATATAACAAAAGTAGCTGTAAATGTAGTGCTTTGTAGCTTCTCCTTGCAGTTAACCTGATATGACTTAAGTGGAAGTATTTTAGAGCAACCCAATGGCTTGATGTGTGCCTCTCTACTCAGCTTTGCTAATCCCTTCAGGTTTATGTCCTTTACTGTAATTTTCTCTTCAATTGTAATCTTCTCTTTATGTAGTCTTTGTTTCATGTCTTGCTCTGTGTCACTTTCTTGTTCGTTTTTCTTTTTGTTCGGCATTTTCTGAGCAAAGAAAACTTGTTTTTGTTATTATGGCCTAGAGGAGGTAGTCTACAAGCAATATTGTATGAGTTAGAAAAAGTGTTGCTGAGTTCATAGCTACTTTTCTTCTTTTTTTTGTTGTTGTCTTTATGCTTGCTGTTTAGAAACCTCGTACTCTCGTCTAGAACAGATGAACCATCTTGGAAATTAAGTCTTTATTCTCTTGTCAGCTTGATACTGAGTTTTCCGATTCTCGAAATAGTACCAGTGTCATTGAAGGTTTTGCAAGATTTCTCTGGGGTTGTACCAAGTTGACTGTTAGTTTTTTTGTTTTATCTTTTTAAATCATTAAAATGTTTTATTTAGGATGTGAATAGGTACACCTAGGTTTTCACAAGTGAGAGAGGAATCTGATCGTATGATGTAGGGAAAACCGGATTTCATTTAATTTTCGTGCAAAGTTTAAGACGGATGGAAATCAAGGTTCCTCATTTAACTGATGCTCTTTTCTTTTGTCAGTGGTCTAAGTTAGTGTTACCGAACCTTTGAACATTGTGCTTCCTGGTGTGTATTCTTTTTACTACATACGTTGGGGGTGATACGGAGTGGAGATAAAAAGCAAAAGTGTTAATTGAGTATTGTATTGGTGAATCAGCTACAGTCCTTTTGTATCTTCACTTCTCCTGAATTTGATGGAACTTTTAGTTTGAAATGTCAGAATACTTATATTTATTTATTAGCCTCACAAAGCTTCCTGCCAGTTCTGCAACAGTAGCCAACAAACATTGAAGCACTTGCTTAGTTTCTACTCTGTGAATTAATGCTGATTTATATCCTGAAAATCAGTGAGCTTCTGCTGTAGTTGCCTTTTCCTCTGCGTCGTACAATCTTTTGTTTTTGTATTTAAGTTCTCTGTATGGCCATGGAACATTTCATCGTCCATAGAATGGAGAGAAAATAATATGCTTGTGTTGAGGATCTTTAGATTATATGTAGGCCCAATAGCTAGTCTTTAACTTTAGTATTAGTTAGTTGTAGGTCTTAGTATTTATTTTAACAAGTAAATTATGCATTTTTTTCAGTATTTATGCTGATCGACTTGAGCTTTAAACATTTTTTTAGCTGTTATACTTATATCTTTAAAATAATTATAATAAAGAATGACATTGAAGGTGCAACTAATTCAGCCAAACGCACCATTGGTTTGATAGTGCTTTTCTAATGGTTTGGATTTGATAAAAGTGATAATTGTCATTTCCTATTATTAACACCTGAGAAATGTGTTGTTTGTGAAACTAACTGCTAACCTTTTAAGAATATTAAGAACATTCTATGAATGCATAATTTATTTCAAATGATTAGAAGGTTTACAGATTGAAATGTAATTTTGCAGAACTTTTTTTGCGTATTATAGAAAAACTCTGTTTTTCTTTGCCTTCAGTAGCTTTGATTCATGTCTATTAAAAGTATTGTAGGTTTGAATATAAAATTTTCCCATTAAATTAATTGAAACAACTATGGTTGATACAATGTACAGGCACAGTTATGGTGACTACAGCCAGGGCACCATGTACACCAATGTCAGTGGGACATACTACCAAACCCCTCAGGGAGGCCAGGTAAGGCAGCTGTCAGAATAATGTTGGATGTGTTTTGCTTTATACACAGTGCTTCCACTCTTCCGTATTTTTACGGAAATCCGTACTTTCTGCCAGTTCCGTACTTGCTCCTCCATCATTATCAACTCCTTCTTTAAAAAGCTGCGACAGCGTAGGACTACGGAAATTCCGTAACTAAAGATCCGTACTCGCCTTCGTATCGTCTAGTACTTGTATAAGTTACAGATATTTACGGTAATTCTCTCGTCAATAAGTTAATGTTATAGAAACCTGCCAGATTGCACATTTCCTGCAATCGGCCATTATTCCGCTATGCCCCATGCATTCATTGCGGGTTGGTCGGCTGTACATTTTTACCTGTGGATTGATCAAAATCTGGCGAACTTTTTGTTCCAATTTCCTCTTTTCTATCATTCCGTCTGTCTATCTTCGTATTGTTGCCGCAGCGGAAAATCTGCGCGTTGATCAAGTAAATTGACTTGTGATCTTAGACATAAAATTACTGTCAGAAAGAAACTTTTTTTTACAAATTTGTCTAGATCTAGAAAAATGATCGATACAAAGATTCTACGGCACGGGAATGCAATAAGGGCCGCAATGAAAGAAATTTATGCTAATACCAGCCTGGGACGACTAAAATCAAGAATAATTCTAAGTGGTGTTCCAAGGTTGTGACATGCGATATTCAGACGTGAAATTTAAGGAAAATTAGAGTATACGCCGGGAAACTGTATTGTGAAGGTACATATTATTATCTATTCATTATTCACGGGTTTGCCTTCTATCAATGGTGCGATGACAAATTAATTGAATTATAGTAGCAATGGAAGGGGAACCTGCTTTTAAACATTGCCATCAATGGAAAGATATATGTAGGTGAAGAAATCAAACAAGACAAAAATGTTGGTGAAAAAATAAATGTTATAGTTTGTCGGCAATCTATTCAAACAGGCTCCCAAATGCCACTTTCAACCCTCTAAAAGCACTGAATTTCAATTTCTTCGGAGGCTTCGCCCCCTGAACCCCCACCGGGACGCTGTCCCTGGACCCTGCTGGGGACCCCTGGCAGAATTTTCCTTACTTTTCAGCTTCAGCTGTTGGAAGCACTGTATGCAATTCTACTTAGTCTGAGGAATTCACTTTTTTGAAAAGAATAATAAATCACAAGATATATTGTTTACATCGTGGTAGAGAGTAAATTAATAAAAGTCTCTTGAAGTTTTTTATAACAGTGGTTAATATTACCCCCCTCAACCAAACATTGTTTGATATGAGTTGCAGCTACTTACTTTCACTACAGTACAAGTATTATTGGCGGGCAATTGTCAGGGATGCCACTTTTCCGGTATTTCCGGTATTTTGATCCTGATCCGCTATTCCGTTATTGAGATCGAGTTAGAATCTATAGTTGGAAAAAAAATTGGGGTTTCAAATTGTTATTCATATGTTAGCGAGACCGTGGCGCGTGGATTTTCAGCTATTTTCAAAAAAGTTTAGTGGCATTCCTGAATTGTTGTAAATGCTGGTTCTCTTTTATTTATTTGATTCCAACTCAAAACTTGTGTATGCAGGCCCTCCAGGGTCAGATCATCCAGCAGCCAGGCGGTGGGACGTTCCTCATCCAGAGCGGCACGGTGGATGGGGACGGAGCCCCACTGACGCACACCACCAGAGCCTCTCCTGTCACGGTAAGACCAGCACCATTTTTTGTCTGTGTGTGTGTGCTGTAGAGCCACTTCACAATAACCCTGTCATGTTGACTTTTGAATTTTTTTTTTGTCCCTTCCACATTTATGGTATTTGAAGTGTATGTGTGTATTTTTCCTTTAATATGTTTGGGGTTTCGATCTAATATGCCAGTTGTTTTTATTTGATTTTTAAAAAGTATAACAAAACATTTTGTAGTAGTAGACATTCTTTGAAGATGATTGTGTTTTATGACTCTAACATTCCATTTCTGCTTTTTACCTGTAGGGTATTTGAAAGACAAGAATGTAATTTCCTTATTATACAACTGTGCTTTATGTAATGAAAAAAGTTTGCCATACGAGAAGATTTGTTCAATGAGTGAAAAATAATTATGTCTTCGGGGGGAAATTCTAAAGAATGAGGTTGATGATCTGTTGCTGTGTTCTAGTGATGTTGATGTAAACAGGTAGCCTACTTCATGACACACTAACCACCTTCATATTCAGAGCACTGACCAAAAAGCAAGAACTTTTAATGGGGCATGAAAGTTATTTTAAGCCTACTCGTTAATTTTCTGCGAGCAGGCACCTTGATTATGGATGTGTGTGAATAAGTTTAAAATGCCATTGATCAGTTAGTGCTACATCTTTTTTTTTTAATTACTAAAAAGGAGGTTATGTCTCTGTTCCAATTGTTTGACAGTATCTTCTCTAGGTAAATGTCTGCAGTTTTGGTCTTACCCCATTCTGGTTGTATTCTTCCTACTAATCTCATTGTGTAGTGAGTAGTGGGCTAGGTGGGAGGGCTGTGCCGGAGACGTAGTCTGCGGATTGTTTTGTCATTTGTCTAGTGCTGTCGATGCCCTGTAAGCGCTGCAATTCCCCAGTTTTTTTTTGTTTTTTTTTTCTCTTCTGTTTCCTCAAGAACCACACCCCTTTGGCTGAGCTGAGCAATTTGCATACCAAAGAGGTAAGGCTCCTTCACACCCGCCAAAGTGTGGTTGGTTAGATGGCCTTGTGGGGCGGAGCTGTCTTCAATCCTACCTTATCAGGACATGTGCAGTGTACATACTCTAAACGTTGGAACCCTTACGAATTCTCATTTTTGAGAAATTGAAAGAAATTTACTAATTTTTGTCTGCTTTGAGGAAAAACCACTTTATATGCAAGAAATCTTGAGAGGCCAAGGATGGTTTTTCTTTCAAAAATGTCGCGACCATATAATCTACATGGTCTTCAGTGAAGTGGGTATCACTGATTATCTCAAGCTTTACTGTTGTTTTGTTTATCAAGGAAAAGAAAAACAAAAGCACCAGGTCTTACAGTCTCGACATTGGGTTTTATTTTTAAAAATTTTTTGGGGGTTGAACAAATATGGCGAGAGTTCACTTCTGACTGGTACTTCGAAGTTTGCAGATAGAGAAAAACAGAAAAGGAGTCTGTATTTTTCCTGTCCTGAAATTTGGTGAGGAATGAAGGCAGCGTCTTGGGCTTGGGGATGTTGGATGCCGCCTGTGTCTTCTTCTCTGCAGTCCCCCTTATTAGTGTTTGAAATTCAAAGTAACAAGTTGTTAAATGTGTTTTAACTTGCATGCATTCAGTTCTACTTTTTTTGTGTTCCACTTTGTTGTGACAGATTTGGGGTGGGGAGGTTGAATGTTCATTAAGATGAGCTTTTTTGTGCAAAGAAATGTCTGTGTGGAGATGGGCAAAAATAAGATGGAGGATGTTTCATGTGCTAGTTGATTGAATCACCACTGCTATGGTGTGCCCTGTCTTGGTCACCTTAAAGTTTCTGCATGCATGTTTGTGTAAGTGTTGTTGACCAGATGGGTTCAATGTAAATGCGGGGTTATGTTTTCCCAGTGTGTTTTTAGATAACCAAAAGAAAAAACAAACCACGCTTTGATGGTGTGAACGGGCCTGCCTCTTTTTTATGTTTCTTTCTTGTGCAATTTACTGTTGTAAAGATAGAATAGTTTCATTGTATTTTTTTCATGTCCCAAAGTACTGCTTTCAAAAAATAACATTGTGCTTTGAATTTCAATCACTCATTCATATCTTTCACTTTAATCTCAACATATCTGTTGTTTCTATTTGTGTGCAGTGACATTTTCTTGTGATTTTAATTTCTCCCTTTTGCATCCATAGTTTCTCATTCCATTTCCTCTTTGATTTTTATTTCTATTATGATATGAAATGAATTTCAGTTAATGGGAAAGATAGGAACATCTGTGTGACCTTGTTTGCTCAGTATGATTTTTTTTTTCCTTTGGGGGAACAGCACAGTAGTGACGATATACTAAATCCCCCCCCTTTTGATCCAACCCAGTAAAGTTTTGTTGAAATTCTGACCAACCCGAAAATGGCGATAAAGAAGAAAAAAAAAAAAAAGAGAAAAGAAAAGAAAAATCAAACGGAATTCATTTTGTTGTCCACATATTCCCATATAGATTTTGGTATCAGTTATATAAATTTCTAAATCATTTGACATTGATTATCATCACCATTGTCTAGATAGGATTGTCATTTCCTTACAGCGTACAAATAACAGATGTATTGACATCCGCCTAAGAGCACTTCATGCTAGAACCTGGTCCACCCAAGAACCCGCTTTTATCGTGTAATGAAATTTTTTTCTTTATAACTATAACTTGCATGCCCAAGGACCCATTCCAAAAATAGAAATCCTTCTCAGAACCCTGTTTGAGCTCGCTGTAATTAACTTTTCTGGGGTGCTTTTCTGTACTGTGTGCGGGTTTGTGTGGGCAAGCAGATGACAAAATGTACACTCATCGCATACATACTTACACAGAATGTTTTATAGGCATGAATGGAAGCTCTGTCAAGAGTAGATCAATAGCTGAGTGTTTTTTTATTAGTATAATTTTAATAATTTGCTCCTCTCCCTTTATCAAAGCGTCTGAGTGTTAAAAAAGCTGGTCCATTCTTGATCATTCTTTCACCTGAGTTCCACTGCATTGTGACTGGAGCTGTTTCATAGTTTCAATGTTCTACCAAATCTTAGTGACAATGTCATGTCATTTAAATTCACTCTGAAGCCAAACCGGCGCACACCATTCAGGTACAAACCTGGCTATAAACAGCATCTCAGATCTGGGAGAAAAGTAGCGGGCTGTTTTTGGTAGGTGGTCGCTATTGACAGGGTTTGAGTTATGGTCGTTTATTAATCGTATTAAAATAAATTCTCACATGGTACTTGTGAACAATCACCACCAAGACATTGCCTAAAGCAAAAAACATACCCCTCTGAGCTCCCAACATTGTGCATTCTAATTTTATCTTTCCGTTTCCATCAAAATTATCTATCATGAAAGCTTTTTGGTAGATAAATGCTGCCAACAGGCTCAAACGCATCTGGTATAGCAGTCATTTACAAAGTAAAGCAACATTAGAGAAAACAATTTAAAAAAAAACCCTCAAACGCGAGCAGCTGATATCCACTGTAGAGCAGATGCCACAGAGCCTGTCGTGTGACTGCGTGATATTTACTGAGGTTGGCAGCTGTGTATTATTAGTGGCTTTTGCGTAGTGTGGGCAGCAGCGATGTGTTCAGTTCTTTGGACTCTCGCACATCATTGGATAAATCCTACATTAAAGCCCGCCTCTTATTTTTTTGTAGGTAGTACCTTTCCGGACGATAAGCCCAGCTGCTTCTTTGCATTGATTGGACGTACACACTCAGCCTGATAACGGGTTTCGGGGACTTTGTAGCAGGTTTTGAGGCTGGTTTGTTGCGAAAATGGGCAGGTTAAAGATATAGGGAAAAGGCAAGGGTGTCACAGAACTGGTCATTAGAACAGGTGACCACTGTAGAGAAGTGACTGCCAAGACCGATTCGATTTTGTATGTTTTTTTGTTTTTTTTAAAGCTTACTTTATCCTCCTTCGAGTGTCAGTGTCACCAAGGGGTCTTTATTTCATCATTGAGGAAGCAATGGGTAGGAGCTTAGTAGGGAAACCTGCTCAAGAAACAACTTTTTCTTTCTTCTAATGACCGGGTTCTTAGGTGGAGACCACTATACTTATCAGACGAGAAAATCTTACATGATTGCTTTGAAACACCACTGGTCTCTCTGTTTTGCTTTAATTCTAGAATTTGTGAAATGTCTTAATATTTTCCACAGGTTGTCATTAGGGTCTATTACTATGATACATATTTTTCAATAGTGTTTTATTTCCCCTGTCATCTGCCTTTTTTACTTTGTCCAAAAGTGTTTTTCAAACCCTGCTCCCAACATCACTCTCAGTGAACAGTTTAAATATAAATATGCATGTTTCAGAGTGAGTAAGTGCTGGACCCCCCCCCCCCCACACACACACACACTGTGTTTAAAAAAAGGGTTATTACATTTTTAGAATATTGGTGAAAGTTAGGTTTGCATTGGATGTTTCAATTGTGTACTTAATGAATATAGGTTTTTGTTGTGCTTATTTCATGAAATTTTTTTGGGTGAGAATAGTGCTGTGGTTTATTTTGTTATCTAAAAAAGTGTCTATAAGATTCTCAATCTGTCGACTTATGGTTAGAAATACTAATTTCCCCATATATATTTTCATCAGATGCATTCGTGTGTACACCCCCCTCCCCTCCCTCCTCTAATCTTCTTCGTAAAACTGTTTCTTCAAACTTCAAATTTTAAGTAAGCTTTCGGGCTTTCTTTAAATGTGCTTATTTCTTTTGAAAATAGTCCCTTTACTCAAATTTAAGTACAAGTGGACTTACTTTTTAAAAGAACAGAATTTGAGGGAAAATTAATAAATTATGTTCAAACTTGTTGTCAGTCCTCGTGTAGCATGAAATGAGCTCTTTAACTTGTAAAATGAAACGTTATGTTTAAATGGATATGTTAGTGCTGATGGCTCAGAAGGATTGTGTTCCTGTTTACTGTTCATAATTTTTGTTTGATTTGAAATGGAGATGTTTTTTGAGCCTTCATTAAATACATTATACAGCAATTTATTTATTAGCAATTATGTAGAATAAGATGAATGAATTTTCTCCAAATGAACTGGTGGTAGATCTAATATGCTTACGTCTCATTTCAGGTGCAATGGCTAATTGACAATTATGAGACAGCAGAGGGTGTGAGCCTTCCTAGAAGCACACTTTACTACCATTATCTCAGGCATTGCCAAGAACAAGGGTTGGACCCTATGAATCCTGCATCATTTGGGAAACTGATAAGATCAGTGTTTCTAGGTTTGAGGACCAGAAGGTTGGGCACAAGGTAAGTTTATGAACATTCCAAGGTGGACTTATTTATCTTCTGTGAGCATTTATGCATCAGTTGGCCCTACTCCTTGATGAGCCTTGTGTTAAATGTGGCAAAAAAAAGTTCTTTTTTATTTTTTGCAATGCTGTATTCATTGACAGGCACCGTGGGTGGTTGGTAGGTGCTTTGCTCTTTCTTTCCTATCAAACATCTGTCATCCTGATCTCTCCTCCTTTTTTATGTTTGTTACTCTCTTGTAACATTTCTAATCTGTGGCACTTGTATGACCTTATTGGGATGCAAGTGCCATAAAACTCTTATAAAAACTAAAATTGACAGGCACCCTGTGTTCCCCCTTCTCTGTCCTTTTCTGCTCAGTGTCTGCGCTATGTTGCCGCTGTCTTTCTGTCTTCGTTTTGAAATTAGTTCCAAATCCTTTTTTGTTTGTTTTGTAATGGTGCTAATGCAAAAAATAGATTGACTGGGACTTTGCATAATGGGAACAAAGTGGGGTGGAAAAGGGTTGAACAGGCCACAGGAAGATATGGATAGTAAAGGTAAAAGTAAACTACACTGTTAAATCTTAAAGCTTGTTTATCTCATTGTTTGGACTTTTCTGACAATAAACTCAACAATTTTCCTTGAGTCGTTCATTGCCATATGAGAGTGATAATGGTTTGGACGTAACACTTTGCAGTCACACAGCCAGCAGTACAAAATTCCCCGTCTGGTCATCCAGCCCGGAGCAGATCTGCTCCAGGTGACCAGAACGAATACTTTTCACCGGCGCAAAGTGTTCTGCTAAAAATGGCAGCCAAAAGTTTTAAAAGTTTAATGCCCTGTTGGGTCTATTAAGTTTGAATTGTAATGTTGTTGGGTTTTTTTTCATGGTTTCTTTATTTATATCTTGAATAAATATAAATTGAAAACATTTTTTTTCCTGAGTTATTTAATTAATATGTCAGGGTTGTGGGGTTGTTGTATTTTATGCTTATTTACTTAGCTAAGAGTTATCTGAGTAACTTGATAGATGTAATTTTTTTGCTATTGACATCTGTTTTTTTTGTGGGGGTTCTTATCGTTCAAAAGTGGAATTAACTTCAAGATTTCATTAGATACAACTTCCATTCTATTTTTCTCTCCAGGGGTAATTCGAAGTATCACTACTATGGCATTCGTATCCGAGCCAACTCGTCCCTCAACCAGTTCACAGATGATCAGACAATGGCTCTTAGACAGCAACCAATGTACACGAGTAAAAAGTAAGGAGCAGTTATTGTCATGTAGCATTTTCCCTGCTCAACTTCTTTGTTTTGATAAACTAACTTCACAATTGTATCATGTGAAAGCTGTTGTTTGGTGGGTGTTCGACATAATAAATAAAAATGGTAGCAGAGCGTGGTTCGTTCTTCTTCCCTCTGTCAACAGGAAGTTTTCTTTATTATTGTTACAATACAAACAAAAGGGGGATCATCCTGATCCTACATATTCATGACATCAGCAGAACATTTCTCATTAAAATGTTTCATAAAATAATAATGATAATGAGGTGAGTTTATCTATTAACAAAAGCAACAGTCTACACAAAATATAATCCCTGGAAGCTTTACAAAAATGTAAAAAGCAAAACAAGTCAGTGACACTTGGCATACAGGTTCTGAATTCTCACTACTCATCAGGGATTCCATTTGCTGATCACACCCCAGCAGCCTAACACTTTTAATTAAAATGTAGTTTTTCGTTTTACTCAATTTCATTTGAAATTTTAAAAACTTGTTTTCAAACATGTTGACAGTTTTTTTTTCATATTCAGTTATTTGATGCCCCCATTTATAACACCATATTTGAGAGCTGATTCTTAAATGTTTTGCTGGTGACCGCACAGGTATTGTGCAAGTAATTTGAAAAGGTATGAGAGTTGTGGCACTTAGGGGTTATTTTTATTTTCCAGTTCTCAATATATGGCACAACCATGCCTGTTTTACAAATGCACATACAGACGTACCCCGGTTCTTCTACGGGAAATCTGGATTTCTAGAATTGCCTGGAATTTTCTTTTTGTATGTCATACGAGATGTATTTTGAGACCCAATGCATGAATTTCTATTGGTCCAAACCGTTCGAGATCTTTTTCATAGCCAGTTGGCATCTCTGAATGTTAAGCAATTCTCCATTGGTGTTCCCCCTCCTGTCAAGCCAGCATTCAAACACTTTTCTTCCCATTATTTCTTTGCTTCTTTTCGTTCCTACTAACCTTTCTTTTCTTTGTTCAGGCTTTCCAGTCATAAGCAAGAAGGTGCTGAAGGGGACACGGGTCAGCCAGGGACACAGAGTGGTGGTCAGAGCGATGCTTCGCACTCGCAGCAGCAACAGCATACCCAGTTTCTGGGAGATGCATCTCACGCGTTGCCTTCCTTCGGCTCTGTGGACATGAGCACCGTGCCGCTCAGCGATGGTGTCACAGTGGAGGATGTGAGGAACTTTGAGAAGATGTACAGGGAACACGCAGAGGTATGTGAAGAATAATCTTTTAGTAGCAAGTGGATTCAGCATCAAATCTTTAGCAGCTGATAGGCATTCTTATTTCCTCTAATTTTTGCTTCATCTGTGGTTTATGTGTATTTTTTGTTTTGTCATGAACTTGTCTCTTAACTGAGATAAAATATTACATTATTTATGAATTGATATGAATGATGGCATGGGTATGGTCCTTTTGGGTCTCAGTTGTTTTTGTTGTGGTAGGAAAGTGGTGTTTTTTCATGCTATTAAGCTCTGCTAGACTGACTATATTTATATTTATGCTAAAATTAATTGTTCACACGGAGTCAATTTTTTTTGTTGTTTCTTTGTTTTCCTTGGCTTTCTCTTAAGAAAAACATGATAGGTCTCTAGATTGGTAACGACTGTTACAAAAATTGTTAATGGAGGGAAGCGAAAAATTGACATTTGTTACTTGAGTAGCTCTTTATGTCTGAATTGTTGATGTTATCTGTTGGCAGGCTGTGGTGGAAGTTGTGGTGAACCTTCACTTTCATCTTATAGAGAACTTATGGCAGACCTTCTGGAGGAACCCCAGTGCAGAATCACAGTGAGTGCATGTTTTTACCAGGCCATTGAAGAGTGGGTGAATGGTGGACTATAAACCCACTGTTTGTGTTGTTGAGCAATATATTCGTAGATACTCTCCCCAAAATGTATTTTAAAATCCTGCAAAAACTGTGTCAGACAGATGAACACCCCCCCTTAATTTCCCTATCCAAGCCGGAAAGCACCATCTTGTCTTTTTGTAGAGCCTTACCACAAGAATTACTTTCCTGATTGTTACGCAAAAGAAAACCGTATATTTAAAAAAAGCAAGAGTCCAAACACAATGCTGAACCACCGTGACAACACGACGCAGGGAACTCTGTGCCACCACTTTCCAAAGAGGAAAAACACGCGGAAATAATATTCATGGAGTACTCAGTACATCCTTTGAAATTATTGTAACTCATAACAAGGAAAAGGACAAAAACATCAGACTACAAGAAAAAGAAAAAAATAAGAAAAATACAACACCGGGGGTACAAAATGACCCCAGGGTGTACGGATAGGGTTAAGGAACTGTCCGGGGCGGTGCTACTGACTGAAGGGACAAGAAGAGATTCTAAAAGAAGAACCATAAAGCGGCTGATTCATCAATGTCATGTTCGAATGAACTGCAACAGGAGCCTTGAACCATTTGAAAAGATGGAAAAACGCATGTCTAAAGAGAAATTATATGCTTTGTGTGGGTATGAGCCGCTCATGGCATGGGTGCGCAAGTCAGACTATGCCTTCTACCAAGCCCTCGTTGAAAACCTAAAGACAGAAGCACAAAAACCAATGCCCAGCAAAGGATCTTATGCAGTTGCGAGCGCCGTAAAAACAAAATAAAAAAAAAAACGTATATAAAAAACACCCCAACAACACTTCATGCCAAAATACGAGACTGTCTAGCACAGCCTGCTAATGTTTTCATGCCGGAATGCAATAATTGAATGAAAAACACTGACAAAAGGCAGTAGCAGACAGGAGACAAGGAAAGAGAAGTGAAGGGGAAAAAACTCAAAGCCAAAACAAATTGGGTTTTTTTTATGTTCGAATCCTTCTCCATAGTATAAATTATAACTTCTGTACTGCATTTACTAGTGCACCAGAGGTATATTAACATAAATGGTCCCTGGAATTAAAGACAACACAGAACGAATATTGTATTTCACACCAATTTTGTTGTCTTTTTATCTTTTTTATCTGTATATTGTTTGTCTTTTGATTTAGTCGAAAACATGAACAATGTATACGTCGATTCAAAATTACATAGGAGGGAATAGCATAGAAGCAAGGTGTTTATGTATGGCACAGTAGGAAAAAAATAAGTTGAGAAATCAGCAAAGTAGGATGAAGCACTGTTGTCTCATTTTGGGATAAATAATGGAGGCAAAAGGAAGTAGACCCTAGTTTCTTTGTTTGCCTTTATGAGATTTGTCTTTTATTTATGTTTGATTTTTACAGCTTATAATGATACTTTGAGTATGTTTGATAGATCTTAGGAATTACTTATCAAAAAGATATGTCGTTTTTAACCCCTTTCCACTTTGCTCCATAGTTTATGACGGTCACTTTAAACAGTGTGTAAGGTTCAATGTTGTTTATTATTTTCGTCTTTTTTGCCTTTTCCAGGCTCCTTAACCCAAGCTATTCGTAACTTTGCAAAGAGTTTGGAAGGGTGGCTGAAGAGTGCTATGCAAAATGTACCCGAGGAAATGGTGAAAACAAAGGTAACTTGCAGTGAGAGTGGCAGTTTGGCATAATGATCTTTCTATTCAAGATTTCTTTTTCTTGTATTGAAGTCTTCCCTGAGTGGGTATGGTTGGGCACTGTGGTATGGTTTGCTCCTTTTTTTTCATATTAAACACCTATTGTCCTTATCTCTCCTCCTTTTCTTTGTTACTCTTCAATAATAATGCCTTTAATCTTCGGCACATATATATGACTGATATTTGTCGTGTAAATCTGTTACTAAATCTAAAGACTCTCTAGAAGCCATACTGTTGAATATTGATCCTAGTCTGCATGGGTTATTTTAAATTCATATTTTTCACACTAATCGGCAAAGCAGGGTGGGCTCTAAAAGATAATTATCATGTAAAGTTTCACTAAATGTATTGTGCATTCACCTGCTACCATCATGAAAAATCTGTTTTAGCCATGTCCACCAGTCGGCATTATAAGGTAGTCCAATGTGGGTTTGATATTGAAACTACAGTAAAACCCGGATGACACAAATTTCATGAGATCGATCAGACAATTTCTTTGTGTTGAGCAGATTGCTAATGAAAAGAACAAAAAAGGGGAGCCAACTCCGTCTTGGCTGCAGAATTAAAGAGGTGGTAGCTGTTTACTTGGTTTTCTGTACTTCTACTAAGTTTAATAACAAAAACAAATAAAATATGGAGATGATAAATCATAGCTGCAGATTATAAAGATAATTTGAAAATATTTTAAAGAGTTAGATGTTCCCTTTAAATAAGGAATGGTTTTCGGCTTCAACGTGTTTCGTTTCTATGTTGTGCTATTCAACGCGACTTTCTCACCACTTGCTATGCATGGGAACTTGGGGGGAAAAACTTGACCGCACGAAAAAACTCAGAGGTTCTTGCTGTATGTTGGTGTATTTTTCTCCTTTGGGGATTGATGTTTAAACAGAATAAAATGTGTATTTTAAAATATATTTCTCTTGACTATCTCTTGTGATGTCTGCTCTCAGCTTGGAGCTGTGTGTGCCTTTGCTCAAACCCTGCGGCGCTACACGTCCTTGAACCATCTGGCTCAGGCAGCGCGCGCCGTGCTACAGAATACGTCTCAGATAAACCAGATGCTCACAGATCTCAACAGGGTCGACTTCACTAATGTACAGGTGAGATGTGTGTGCTCGTGTCTATGGTTGGAGTAGTGTGCTCAACTACTTTTTTACAATCTGTAGTATTGTTGTCATTTTGTTTCTAGTGATACATTGTGGTTGTAATGCTAATCCACCATTAATTGCGATCCTGCATCAGTGTGTAAATGCTGTCCCGGGTAATGTCTCTTCCGCTCATATGACCATATGCAGTTGCGAGCGCTGTGAAACATTTACCACTTAATATCTCTGAAGAAGAAAGAAGAAGAAGCGTTAGCATGCCTTCTGCATAGAATATGGTTTAGACAATAGTGCAAACTAAATAGCCAACATAAAAGAGGTGTCCTTTTCTTAGTTTAGTTTTAGTAGAAGTTTTACGGCGCTCGCAACTGCATAAGGCCATATGAGCGCCTGAAGATTAGAGCTGTTACAAGAGAGTAACAAACATAAAAAAGAAGAAGGGGAGATAAGGACGATAGATGTTTGACAGGAAAGAAGAAGCAAACCACACCAGAGCACCCGCCAACCACCCACTGTCCTTTTCTGTTGTCACAAAGGATGGCTTGACGTATGTAAGTGGACCTTGCATGTATTGCTAAGGTATCGGTAATGTTTCCTGTCAGGGTTGTATGGGGCTGTGACAGACCATGATAGATATACTTCTTAATGGCTGCAATATTTCCAGCCCCATGCATGCAAATGTTGTGAGTTTGATTCCCGGGTGGGGAAGATGTTTTGTTGGATGTCTCGGGCTTTGTGCTGTGATACAGTATCCGACACAACCTTTGCTGGCCATGACGGGCCAAGATGATGCAACCTGCTTTGCTACTAATTATCTAGATTGTCTTAATGAAACAAAACACTCATATTCCGACAACTACAACACCATGCTTTGTTTCCATTGTTTAGGAGCAAGCTTCCTGGGTGTGCCAGTGTGAGGACGTGCTGGTGCAGCAGTTGGAGCAGGACTTCAAAAATACATTGAAGCAAGGCAACTCCCTGGAACAGTGGGCCCAGTGGCTGGAGGGCGTGGTCAACCAAGTTCTTAAGCCACATGAAGGCAATGAGAATTTCCCCAAGGCAGCCCGTCAGTTTTTGCTCAAGTGGTCTTTTTACAGGTGACTGGTCTGGTTTATTACTCTTCTGTTTGCTTCATGACAAGTTGTCTTACCTGTTCATGTTGTTTGCTTCCCCATTCCAAGAATGATCAATGTTTGAAAAACAGCATGGGCTAGGAACACAAGACAACAAGACAAAGAAAAATTAAATAAATTAGTACGAAAAGTATGTAAAATTTCAACATCTTCATTCCCCTACTTGAATGAATTGTACATAACAGCTTGCACACAAAAAATTAATTCCATCTTTTTAGACAACATCCTTTGTTCCGTCAAATAAAAGCGCACCAGTCAGAAGTTAAAGACCTAGGCTTCTGATCTGTAACGAAGAAAGATTCAGAAGGTCATTTTTACCATCATCCATCAAAATTCTTCCATCTTAACCGTCTTGTATAAGTATTCATATGACCTTAGAGCATGCATCAGAATAACATTGAGTATGTATCTAGCTTAAGGTAATTATTATTTATATTGCTGCTCATTTATCTTAAGCATGTGATTGTAAGCCTGCGTGTGTGTGCATGTGGTGAAACACCAAGCCAATGTGCCAGGATCTGGACAATAAAGATGTATCTTATCTTAAAACACTGCAAAAGACATAATGAGAATGGTGTGAAACTTTGTAGTATTTTAGTATAAATAGGTGACATCTGACTTGTTGAAAAGGTCTTATGCACACATTTTCTATTTTTTTTACTTAGTGACATTAAGATAACCCTTCTTTTAGTGTAAAGAATAGGCATCTATGCCACCTGGGTAGCGAGATATTGGTGTTGTCATTTCAGTTTTCTTTTTACGCTTTTCATACCTTGTGCTGTCGTCTCCCACACTATAACTATTTTAATTATATAACTATTATAAGATGGTTTTTCATTGTGGATAGTTGAGGTGTGATGGTTTGCTCTTTCTTTCCTATCAAACGTCGGTCGACCTTATCTTTCCTTCTTTCCTTAATCTTCAGCACTGAAATCACCTATTTGTGTACAAGTGCTATAAAACTCTTGTCAAAACTAAAAACTAAAAAGATCTTTAATCATTTTCCAGCTCCATGGTGATAAGAGATCTGACACTACGTAGTGCGGCCAGCTTTGGCTCCTTTCACCTGATCCGACTGCTCTATGATGAGTTCATGTTCTATCTGGTGGAACACAAGGTGGCCAGTGCCACAGGGCAGACGCCTATTGCTGTGATGGGTGAGGTCAGACAGGTAAGTTAAAACCACTTAAACTATGTGGGAAGTGGACAGGGGAAAGTGTAAGGATTAATACTGGCATAGCCTTGTGCAGACAAAGAAAATTTTAAGTTTTATTACTGGCATAGCCTTGTGAAGTAATTATATTACTCTTAAATTAAAAATGAAGTCTTTGTAAAATGTATGAATTTAACTTCAAAACTTATGGAATAATTGGTGGGAGATGAGAATTCACAAGTGTAGAAAGTGATACTCTAAAAGACAAATACCTTTTGCCATCACCTAGTTGTTATGTTTGGGATCTATTGTGAACTTCTTGTTTTCAATTTGCTTGAGGTTGTTATGATAATTGCCTTTAAGCTGCCTGAATCAGCCATAAAAATAATCATTTCAATATTCCCAGTATGTATTGTCTTTGAAAGTTATGGGGATTGTTGTTATGGTTAGTTTTTGGTTGATGCAGGTAACATGATGTAAGTCTAGGAATCAGGGTGCCATGGCGTGCTTTTTAAAATTTAGACCTTGCGTTCCCCAGTTCCACGATCTGAGCAGTGCCGTGAACCTGGGCACCATGGACGTGGAAGATGACGAGTCTTCAAACTCCTCTCAACCCTCCATGACTGGAGTTCAGACTCAACTTCAGGCTCCAATGGTCCAGAGGGTTTCCATGGTAACCACACCATCCACCACGCCCACTCCAACAACGTTGATGCTCGTCACCTCCAATTCAGCGAACACAGCCGGCACTGTGGGCCAGCCCACCGTGGGCATTCGTCCTGCTGCGGCCCTCGGACAAGCTGGCACTCCTACGGCTATCACTGTCCGACCGACTGCGAATGGTGTGGGTGGGCCCGGGGGCCTGGTGGTGCTGTCTGGCACTTCGGTGGCTGGAGCCACGCCTGCCCACTCTGTGACCACCCCAGCTCAGGGAGGCCTGCCCACCACACTGGCCGTGCGCACTGCCACCACCGCCAACCCCAATGCCAGCAAAACACACACCATCCTCGTGATGCCAGTGTCCTCCACTGGGGCTGCCGAAATGTCTGCTGCTAAACGAGTCAAGACAGAATGATCCGGCACGGCTGCCCTCTCTCACTCCTAGCTTGTATTTTAGCAAAACGAAGAACAATTTTGCTATGCCAAAGGATAAGGGGGCAGTGTGATTTCAGTGAAAAATGATATCTGCAAAGTCGCATTGCAAGTACACAGACGAAGGAATGGGCTGCTACCGACATCTGTCAGCAGACACTCTCTGATGTCTGTGTCCTGCCCTATATGACACCTGTTGGCATTACGCTTGACAACTGGCAGTCTCGCTCTCGATGTCTGTCAGCTGTCTCTCTCCGACATGTGCCGGCTGCCCTATCCGATGTGTCAGAGCTACCTGACATCTGTCCTCAACAGCTACTACTTTCTGACTCTAAAGCATGTTTGGTGTCACAGAAGTTTTGCTCATGAACAAGCAAAACTGCTCCAACCATTGGTCATCTTTGCTGGGTCAACGTGTCAGAAGTAGGTGTTACTTTTCCCTTACACAAGATATAACCCCCCTCTCCACCCCCTCCCAGTGCTCTGCAATTATGAAACCTTGTAAATCAAAAATGTTATCCTTGGCGCAGTATTTTGAGTGATAAACAAATGCAAAAGATAGTTATCAAATCTATGCAGACAGAATGGAATCGTTGTTCTCCATGTCCTGGCTCTAGACAAAAGTGTGTATACAGCAGGCAGCACAATGTTGATGTGTTTGTGCTGGGATGATCATTTCTCCATGTCTGTGGAAGAGGGGCCTTTCTCGCTCAAGCACAGTGGTCTCTGGGCACGGTACCTGGAGCACTACCCGAACCTGTTGCTAGTGTCAGTTTTGTTTGCCTGTGGACAAGAAAGCATTCTTTTTCAAAGAAAGATTTTCTTATTGAAAACAAATTGTTTTACTGCTGATTCCGTCCGTTGTTCTTGAATGTCAGTGTACTGCTTCCATGTTCTCAGTCTCTGGGTTTGTGTTACCTCATTCCTATCTCAAACTGGGTTGGCTAATCCATTCATATGTAATTCTTTGTAGCTGTAGCTATTGTATTATTCAGGAAACATTCTGTAATGGCTTTTATTAGATTCGTCTAATTTTCTGGCTAGCAATCAGTTTGCTTGATTACTGTCTAAAAAATAAAGAACATGAAATTTAGAGGATGGGTTCAAGAATATCCTAACCATTTTTAAGTAATTGAGGACACCATGTTAAGAGAACCAATCTGCCAGTTACCAGCAGTATTTTTTATTTAAAGTGATTTGTCTTACTGAAAACTGCTGATACATACCATTGTCATCTCTATCTTTTAACTTGACAATTATGTCATCAAAATCACTTAAAAGCTACAGTAATCAATTTTGTGGAACAAGTATTCATGTAATATACCTGTCTGCCTGAAAAATTGTTCACTTTTCTTTGCATTCCCAGTACATGTGAGAAAATGTACTAGAATGTGGCTGCCTGCATTTTGTATTAGGAGGCATGTAGTGCGAGTCTCAACTGAATGTGGAAGATATGTTTCTTGCTTTGTGAGGGATTGGAGGCATTAATATGAATGGTTTTGTGGTAAGTTATGGAGAGACCAACTACTGTTGATGTACAGGACTGATAGAGCTGAATGTAATATGCACACCATGTGTTTGGGTCCTAGTTCTAATCTCTGGTTTATTGGAATTTCTGTGCATTCAGATCAAAGATCCACACCCGTGTCAGTCTACGTAGATGGATAAATTTATTTCTTATCTCATCTGCTCTAATGTTCAGACTGGAGTCCTACATCCTACAGTTGAGGGGAGTTTGTCAAGCTAGCGTTACGGCGGCAATATAATTTCTACTTTGAAGTCCCGCGCAGTGGGGCAAGTTCAGCCAGGCTAATTTTTGCGAACCCCTTTTTTGTTGAAATAGTTCAATGTGATATATTTGTACTCCTGGTCAAATTTTGATGTGAAAACAAACCAAATAAAATAGAATTAGACTTTGTCTTGGATCATCAATTCCCCCCCAAAATTACAACCCCAGTCAGCTGCCGTCTGTTAAACTGACGGGTAGATGTGGGTCTTTGGTTAGATTTTGGGTTTTGGCGCCATGAAGAGCAAGGTGTTGGTTTGGGTTGAGCAGGGACTGAATGTTTCTGCCCAACAAAATTATAAAAATGTTGATAGTTTGGTTAGTTGTTGAGCAGGCAGACAAAAGTGATGTCATGATGTTTTCCCAGTTGTTGTTTTTTTCACTGTATTTCAGAGGGTTAGAGTAGCGACATGTTTGATATCAAGTGCAAGAATCATAGTACAAATTTTTTTTTTTTTTTTAAGTAAAATACTTGAACTCTTTTTTCATAAGTGTTTATAATAGCATTGTAGTTTTGGGGTGTTTTTTTCAACGTTAAATTTTAAAATATAATTGTCAAGTTGAATTAAAGAGGGGGGTGAGAGGAGCTTCTCTTTTCTTATGGGACTGAAAACATTTTCTTAAAATAAGAAAATGGTATTTCATGTTTTTAAAAATCTTGTTGGCCTCGTTGTTCACGGTTGATGGAAAAACTGTAAGTGGAAGAGACAGCTGCGACAGTGAGCCCTGAATGACAGTTTTTTAGGCATCGGTGTTGGGGAAGTTAGGAGATGCATTCATCAAAGCTTTGAAGTTTCACGCACATTAATGCACAGAAGTGAACCTATATCAACTTGTTCTCCTTTGCTCTATTATTTTGCTCATAACAATTATTATCTTGCATTACCACGACCTCTATGCGAAACAGTGTCAGCAGCATTGTAAGACAAATTGTGATATAATATGTAAAGCTTCATGTGAGATGCAGTTTCGTGCTGGTTTGAGGGCAGATTCCTAAAACCTCTGGCTTCAAAAAGTTTTTGGGGAATGTTTTAATCCTGTCCTTGGCATTGCCTTCGTCTCAAACTCCTTTACTTTGTCAGTTTGTTTTATAAAGAAATATGACTGTGTTTGATAGTGTTCCCTAATTGTTCAGCACGTTTCAGCATTAGTGTAAAGAAAGAGGATCATTGTTTATAGGGGGAAAAAGGTGTTGAAGTCTGCCTGTGTCTGTCTGATTTGGGGATATTTGGACATATAAGACGTGTGGAAGTATAATGTTTTTTACGGTACATGTAATTATGAGGTTGGTGGGATCTGCTGTATGAGCCACACGCAAATTGAGAATGCTGTTTCTTCAGGTGATTATGTTATGTCTGAGCCTTCATGTATATTTTCATTGTAAGATTCTCTCATATTTAGAGGAAACCATTTAAATAAATGATCACATAGATATGAAGATACGTCATCTGTACATTGAAATAGTAAGAGTTATTTATTAGGTGCTAAATTTATCTTTAGATGAAAGTAAATGTGGATATATGATTCTTGTTAATTGGAATTTATTTGAGTCTTTTTGCTGGGGCTCTTCAGTGTGAAAGATGAGTAGTGTATTTTCCCCCCTGTACATATTTCCTTCTTGTTTTCCATATTTATGATTTATGTGGTTCAGGTTTGAGGGATGTCCTTTCCACTTGTTTCACAGATGACTTGAGAATGGATGACAAGATGTTGAGATGTGATAACCTTTTGTTTGCCAAAGTTTGAATCATTCCAGTGTGTATAAAGTTTGATGCCATGACTGGAGAGAGAGAGAGTCATTTATCCGAGTTGTGTTTGAATGTCTTATATGAAAGGCAGGTGATGAAGTCTGGTTGTTTCAGAGTCATTGTGTCCATGAGGTGTGTGGACAGAACTTGATTCACTTGTCTAAGAGTATAAATTATTTTCTGAAAACTTTGACTGAATTTCCATTGTCATATTGGCCTGTTTTTGTGTCCTCTGAGTGAGTGTGTATTTTGACCTGTTTGTGCCCTCTGAAGTGAAAGTGAATGGTGCATTGTGGTTAGTCATGTTTTCCTCTTTAATTGCATTATCAGATATATAGTTTATTTATCTGTAAAATCATTAGGGGAAGGGAGGGAGTGAGTTTTTTGGGTTTTTTGTCCGTGCATTTGTTTCCAGGTTGTCTTTTTTTCTGCATATCCTCACTAGGAAAATGAGACTGAGGGTGGATAGAGGGAGATTCATTTTATATTGTCTTTCCGGGTATAAAGGGAAAAAAGATTGCTACCAAGCAAATAGCTGTTAGTCTAGCAAGTAACACATTGTAGGTTGTTTCGAATTTTGTGATTGGGAGGAGCGCCTGGAACTTCGGAGCTTGTCCTAGCTTGTTCTTTATTCAAGTCCAAGTGTATTATGGTAATTGTGCCTCTCCTGTATCAGTATTTGTTTTGAAAATGGGAAAAATGTTAATTGTTTTGCCATCTTAGATTGAATGAATTGGAAGACAAGTCCTACAGTAATGGGTTCTGGTACTGCAGACATTTTGGATCACAGGACTCTCGACAGGCTATATCAGGTCTAGGTGTTGGATTTTATTTTTTATTGTGTTGGTGTCAGAAGCTACCATTACGAGAAGGGTGCAACATTTCATTTTCACATATTTTGTTTTTGCTTTTTTCACTTTGAAGGAAACTCTAGTCATTGATGATGTGAATATAAAATATATAATACATTACTGTTATTTTTATGAAATGTCGCCTTTTCCTGATGATCACTATTCATTGTACTCATTTTCCCCGTTTCATTTCTTTAGACCTTATAGAAATAGGATTTCATAAATATGCAGCAAGCATCAAATTGGTCTGGTTCTATTTAATCTGAAGACAGAAGTCTCATTTTCAGGTGTAGAGATAAAAGCTCAGGTCTATTTTAAGTCTAAATCTCTCGTTGTTATGTCTGTACTGTCATTAGAACTGTTTTACATAGCTGCTGTCCCTAATGTGCTTTTCATGCTTTGTGTTTCTGCATAGACTGAGATATCTCTCACTCTCTGTGTTGACAATCAGTAAGGATGTGAAAAAAAACAGTTTAGCTCTTCTAATCGGAACTCAGCTCTCCGAAGATTTTCTGTGAATTTAGTGCTTGTCAGGAAAGTTTAAGGTTGTATATTGACAGAAGAACAGACATTTAATATCGATATGGTTTGTTAATGAAAAAATCTTTATTTTGTAAAGTCATATTATACACATACTAGTAACAATGTAGCTTTCTGATTTTGTTACACATCTTACTAGTAGAAATTGCCTTTGATTTCAGCTCTCTGTCTTTCTTTCTGTTTTTAATTTGCTCCTCAGGCGTGAGTGCCTTGTGATGTTGAAGAATGTTCACAAAAAATGGCTGGCGAACTGTCTCAAAAATGTTCTTTGTCGATAGAATGTTATGTTGATGAAATCAGTTTCTCCTTAGGATTGTTGGTAGCCTTTTGTGTTGACAATAATTCTGTTTTTCCTAGGTTCTGTTTGACGTTGTACTCTGTCAGGGGTTGGTTTTCTTTGTTCCTCTGTTGTATCATCCCTCTTCATTACTCACACACTTCGATTTCATTAAAATTGACTGAAATCCCTTCATCTGCTGAATAAAATGCATTGTTTACTCCTAACTATATTATTGTTTTTTCGTTTGGCTTTTGTGTGAAAGCGCTTTGTGATTTTGATTGTTTTTGTTAGTATGTGTGTGGGAGAAGTAGACAGTGGGTGTTGGCGAGTGCTCTGATGTGGTTTGCTCCTTCTTTCCTATCAAACGTCTGTCGTCCTTATCTCCCCTCCTTCTTTTTTGTGTTTGTTACTCTCTTGTAACACCTCTAATCTTCTGGCGTTCATATGACCTAATGCAGTTGCGAGCGCCGTAAAAAACATTAACCAAGTAAAATAGCGGAAGAACAAAGAAGAAAAAGACAGACGAGCAGAGAAAGCAAAACCTCTACTAAAACTGAAAGAAGTAGACACGAGAACAAAAACAGCGATAAAAAAAAAATGGAGAAAAAAAACAGTTGAACAGACCGCAAACCACCCAGAGGAGCAGAATCTACAAAACCACACACCCTGAGATAGTGCTTGGAAAGTACCCGGATAAGGAAGAATCACACATGCCTGTAAAACAGAGAACAGCAGTAGAGAGGCGTCAAGTTTGGACCACTGACTACCAACCAGTAACACCTTTAATCTTCGGTACTTATTTGACCTAATTGTTTTGCAAGTGCCATAAAACTCTTACTTTAACAAGCAAGGGATGCCAATAATGAAACGAAACCTACACACTCATACGAACACATAAACCTACGGACACACGGACAACAAAAATTGATGAAGATGAAATAAAAAATCTGCATGTACTGGTATCAAGGAAAGAAACTCAAGATTCTGAGATGAAAACGTTGGACTTATTCAGAAGTACAAAATACCTTAAGTTCTACCTTTTGATTTCATGGTTTAGAAAACACGATTGTTAGATTGTATTTCACACAAAAAAATAGAAATCCAACATGGGGAATATAATATAATAATACAGGTAATACGAATAAATGGATATGGTATCACTTCCACATTCAGTGATGTGATTTACATGAGTGGGTGGTTGGCGGGTGCTCTGGTGTGGTTTGCTCCTTCTTACCTATAAAAAATCTATTGTCTCTATCTCTCCTCTTTCTTTTTTATGTTATTACTCTTTTGTACCACCTCTAAGTTTTGGCATTTATATGACCTTATTGTGTTGCAAGTGCCTTAAAACTCTTACTAAAACTAAACTAAACTGATTTACATATCATAATGGATGCATGTATGTATGTACTTCTATTCTGACCAGAATGCTTTTAGTTTTAGCAAGGTTTTTCGGAGCTCGCAACTGCATAAGGTCATGAGCGCCAAGAGGTGGATGTCAACAGGGGAAGTCAAAATGGGGAATCAGGCTTACTCTGCTCACCTCTCTAGCCTCAACAGCACAAAGTCTGCTTCGACTGTCAACTGTCAAGGCACCCCGGAAATAGCAGTTCACAAGAGAGTGACAAACATACAAAAGAAGTAGAAGAAAAATGAGGGCAGTAAGGATGAGGAAAGAAAAAGCAGCAGCCCCCCACCCCCCACCCCCCTATGTAAATGTTGTTGCGGCACAGTATGAGCATGACATTGAATCAGCCCGTTAACAATCCTTCAGTGCATAAGAACACGTTAATATCCCCCTTTGGGGCTTCCACACACACACACACACACACACACACACACAGAGTGGGTGGTTGACGGGTTCTCTCCTCCTTCTTTTTTGTGTGTTACTCTCTTGTAATATTTCTATTCTTTGGCACTATAAGACCTTATTGTGTTGCAAGTGCCGTAAAGCTCTAACGAAAACTAAAACAACAACAACAACAACACACACACACACACACACAACACACACACACACACACACAGTGGGTGGTTGGCAGGTGCTCTCCTTTTTGTGTGTTACTCTCTTGTAATATTTCTATTCTTCGGCACTATAAGACTTTGTTGTGTTGCAAGTGCCGTAAAGCTCTAACGAAAACTAAAACAACAACAACAACAACACACACACACACACACACAACACACACACACACACACACAGTGGGTGGTTGGCAGGTGCTCTCCTTTTTGTGTGTTACTCTCTTGTAATATTTCTATTCTTCGGCACTATAAGACTTTGTTGTATTGCAAGTGCCGTAAAGCTCTAACGAAAACTAAAACAACAACAACAACACACACACAACACACACACACACACACACACACAGTGGGTGGTTGGCAGCTGCTTTCCTTTTTTGTGTGTTACTCTCGTGTAACACTTCTATTCTTCGGCACTATAAGACTTTGTTGTGTTGCAAGTGCCGTAAAGCTCTAACGAAAACTAAAAAAACAACACACACACACACACACACACACGCACACACACAATTGGATATAAGGGCAGATTACAGGAATAAGAGGCAGGGTATTTAACAAGTTTATTATAAAACATGCACATGTACAATATATCCACTATACACCAGCAGGAGATTTAGCCCCTGTTCTGTAATGGCAGAAGACCACACACATAATTTGAACATCAACAGGGATGCCACTTTTTTCCGGTATTTCCGGTATTTTGATCCTGATCCGCTGTTCCGTTATTGAGATCGAGATAGAATCTATAGTTGAAAAAAAAAACAACCCACGCACATGTTCAGTAAGTCTAATCTATTTTTCTTCAAATGTTTGTCATTTCTTTGTATGTACACCCTTTGTTTTTGTTTGTCATTTCTCTCTATGTACACCCATTGCTTATGTTTGTTTGTCATTTCTCTCTATGTACACCCATTGCTTATGTTTGTTTGTCATTTCTCTCTATGTACACCCTTTGGGTTCTCCCCCTCCCCCCCCAAGGCAGTGCCACTGACTGTAGTATATTATTATTTAGGCCATTCCCAAAGGGGGGAAATTCCTCGTTCAAGCACAGTAGAATTGTAAATGGACTGATTCATGTCACGCTCATAACTGTGCCTGATCTACAACAGGGAACTGCTGCTATTTCTTTCCTAATCCTTACTATTTTAATTTTCCTCTACTTCTTTTGTATGTTTGTCACTCTCTAATGACCTGCTATTTCTGGGGTGCCTTGACAGTCGAAGCAGACCTTGTGCTGTTGAAGCTGGAGAGGTGAGCAGTCTAAGCCCGATTCCCTGTAGAGACTTCTCTGTTGACACCCACCCCTTGGCGCTCATATGACCTTATGCAGTTGCGAGCGCCGTAAAACCCTCTACTATAAAAAAAAAAATTCTCTCTATGTACACCCTTTGGGTTTCAAATTGATATTCATATGACCGTGGCGCGTGGATTTTCAGCTATTTTCAAAAACGTTGAGTGGCATCCCTGCACCAAAGCTCAGATCTACTGCAGTGGTAGGCTATTACCTTTGCGTAAATCTCTACCTTCTTCCCTTCCTTGACGTTTTGTCGTAGCATAGGGGCCTGTAGTTTTCCATCGCAGGTAGTTGGAGGGTGCCACTGATAGGGCTTACTTCTTTTCTTTCCCACGGTTATTCAGTTATTCTTTCCTTTTTTCCCCAGCCCTGATTTGCCGTTATTATTTTGATGTGTGCTGCTTCTCTCTGCTCTAACAAACAAGCTTTCCACCTTCAGTTTGGCTTATATTAAAATATGTGTCTGGCAGGGCGCAAAACTCATACGAGCTTTGGGCAGGGGATGAGGATTAATTGAGCTTGAATATTATTACGGCACTCTCATTATTAAAGAGTACGCGAATATTGAAAAGGATTGGGACACGAGGTTTGGGGGTGGGGGTGGGGTAGGCTTTCTAAGTAACCTGAGAAAGCCTGGGGGAGGGGGGAAGGGACAATACAGGGACAACTCAAGCATATATTATAAATGGACAAAGTGTAAAGAAGTCATAGGGGGCTCTCGTGGTCTAGGGGTTAAGGTGTTGGCCTCTCATTCAAAAGGTCCCATGTTCGAATCTCTAAATTTGTCTCTTTTCACGTCATTTCCTGCTCTCTAGCAATGTTCTGTCGTCTGTTTTCGTCTCCTCTTTCTGCTTCCGCCCTCTCACCTTCTTTGCCTCTTCCTCTAGGCTCCTGATTCTTTCTACAGCCTTTCTACTGCTACCCCTTCGCTTCTTCTTACTGCTGTAATA